TCGGACATTAGATCTAGGCCCTCGAGATGGCTTTGAAAATAAAAGAACGATTAAAAGGATCAAGGGAAGGGAACCAAAACTGGCCAGTGCAACACGGGAGGGGTGGGAGAGTAAAATATGCACAATAGGAAAGAATGTGGAAGCTATATACAATATATGTTGTACAATGTCGATACTGAAGACCATTTATCCAGATTAATAGAAAGGGGGAGTACCGGAATCCACTTTCTTTTGGGTGTATAATGCGAAGATCAGGTAAGCGGTAACAGCGAAGAAAAAAAAAAAAAAAAAAAAAAAATAGTAAAGCCAATGTTTGGAGGACATCTGGAGGATGGGGAAAAAAGGCCTTTAGACAACACGGACCACAAGGGAAAGAGTGAACAGATTAAACAGAAGAAAAAAACAAAGTGCGCAATGCATCAAACATAGAAGACAGTCATATACCAAAAGGAATTGGGTCATTATTTCCTTCCTGGCAGTAAAATCTCTACAAGGCCATCATCCTCCTCGCCATCACTGCTGTCATTTCGATCTTTCGAGTCAAGCAATATATTCCCCCCAGAATTTCGCATCCTAGTCCCCGATGTGCTGCTACCATACGGCGCATTTTCAAAAAAGTTGGAATACCCCAAAGGCTCTCCTACCAGCGTCCCATCTTCCTCGTCGGAGTAAGTCGAAACGAGTTCCGTATGAGGCCCAGCTATATCACCCATCTCATCCGTATCATCGTCGTCTACCTCAAGCGGAAGTCGACCTTTTCGTTGTACAGCTTCGGTGGACAGTTCGTCACCTTCGTCGGAGGAGTTGGACGAATACATATTGACGTGAGGGAAACTAGACAGAGAAGACGGAGGGGAAGACGGCCTTCCGTATGCCGAAAAATGGGAAGTGAATGCACCATATGACGATGTATTTCCCACTGAGGACGAGCCGAAACCTTCGGTCCCCTGTGCCGATGATCCGAAGGGGTCCATGATAGAGCTAAGGCCAAAACTGTAGTTCATTGATTGGGTACTGTTTCCAGAAGTGGTATCTTCAGAGTCCTTAGAAATGTCGTCCGAGGGAGGTGAGGCAAGGGCGGCTTCAGCCCGTTCTTTCTGAGCCGCTAGGCGTGCGGCTAGTTGACGACGAGCTCGAGATGGGGGAATGTTCAACGGCGCAGGTGGTGATAGCATGGGAATCGGTTGGCTTGTCGCGTGAGACCTTTCCTATAAGATTACATAACATTTGTTAGCAACAATGCACATCAGAAATGAGTGGTAGCTCAATGTTCCTTTGCGTCAGGAAATACAGCGCCAAAGTATAAAAGGGCAGTCAAATGGGTTAATCATCAGTGTACCATCCTTAATCAACTTTAGGAAATGAATACCAACGATGACTAGTGTCTCTGTTGTAAGTAGTTGGGAAGTAGGATAAGAAAAGATCAGTGTGACCAACAACAACCGATGTAGCTAGAAGAAGTGCCTGATCCAATGGGACAAAGATAATAGTGATATGAAGGTCTAGGGGCGGTGAACAAGTAGCCCGGGTGTTTATACATGTTTGAGATAGCGCCGTGTGCAAAAATATGATGTCTTAGGAAAGAAAACAAAATCGCTCGATGTAAACGGCCGTAAACGACCTCATGCCAAGGTGCCAGACTAGGTGCCATACAGGATGTAAAGATACATGTACAATTGTCGCCCATACGTCACAAACACGAGGCTCCAAAAGAAAGAATTAGGCAGCATGAATCAGGGATTTTTGGTGAAAAGGTCGCCATCATCGGTCCGTCATGTCAATGTCCTGAAAGAAATGTTGACCCACATTATCAAAGCTGTTCTCCGCGCCAGTTGAGTGAGTTCTTCTCGCACCACCATCGTCATCTTCTGGATCCTCCATTTCTTCATCTTCGTCATCGCTCGAGCTTCCAAATCCACTGAGCAAGGATGGCCCGCTAGCCCCGCTGAAAAACGCACCGCCCGAAGCGCTGCCTTGATGTACAATATCCAACCCTTCGAATGTTGCACCCAGGGCTCCTCCGTTCAAACCGGCATTTGCTAACGCTGTTGAAGCTGTAAATCCCTGTGAGGCGTTGACTGCATTAAGAACTGCCTGCCGATGGCCCATAGACATATCGGGTCTAACACCACCCAAAATGGCATTATCCCTTTCTCTGGTTTCAGACAGAGTTCGTTCGACATAATCGATCCAATCGGGGTGAAGGACATATTCCATTACTGTCGCCGACAACAGTTCAGGGGGGATGCCGTTCGCTGAACTTTACCACCTCCTCTGCAATCAGGGTGAGATGGCCCATGTAGCCCAATCTCATATTTTTTGTCCGCTGTGCTTCATCACTTCGTTGTTGGCCTCGAACAATCTCCTCTGTAATACGGCCCGATTCGAAAACGTCAATTGCTAAGGATCGATTGAAACCACGATCCATCGGGCCGTTGAATACTTGCTGAACAACATCATATACCACATTGTGGAGAAAGTTATTCCATGCAAATCGGAAAAAGAATGACTATTTCAGTGGGTCAGCTATTAAATTATAATATATCGAATTCAAATCAAATTGTACGTACCAGGATCGTGGGTATGACTTTGTGCTCAACAAACATGATTTTCAGATAATCTCCAACCACTGGCTGGCCGTCGGTATCTATTTGAATATTTTGATGTGCAACGTTCTCTCCAGCATCACCCATTGTTATCGACGGTGTTAGTGACCCGGCTATGCAACTGCTCCCGAGAGCAGTCCCGGTTTCCACTCTTCCTTTATTGTCTTCTTCGCCAATTTGATGATTTTCCAGTTTCGTTGGAGAGTCCTTCGCGGCGAATAGAGGTGCCGGTTTATCATCTGGTTGCGGGGATAACGATGAATCCGGTTCACCACTTTCTTGATTACCAGTTTGATTTTCCGAACGTTGACTTTCAGGTACGTCAATGGTGGGGTTTTCGTTGAGAGGGGAGTCATGCCTTTCATGCGGGCCATGCTGTTGTTCGGCATCAATCTTGAAGTTTTCGACTTTCTGAGTGAGGATTGATGCGGTAGGTGATAAAGGATCGCTAGCTCGAGATGGACAAAGAGGCTGGATGACTTTCGCATCCAAGGATGTCCCTTGCTCCGGTGGGGTTAGTGGTTCATCTACAAAATCGTCACTCAGGCCTAATTTAGGCGCATGTGGTGGAATACTCGTGAACTGTTCCGGACCAGGTTTATTGTTGATTTCCCCTTCAGGCTTCTCCTCGAAACCGTCCTTAACATCGTCTATCAGTACTCCAGATGAAGTAACATGTTCGAAACCATCCTCTTCGCCTGCATGTGATGCGTCAAGCCGTTTGATATCCTCAGGCGAGCCAGAACCAAGTGCAGATGGGGAGATGCCATTTGCGAACTCGTTCGTGGTCTCGGCATATTCGAAACCCGAGTATTCTTCACCAGTGATAAAAGCACCTTGTGCTCGCAGTCGTTCACGCTCCGCATCACGTTTTCTGATATATTCATCGCTTCCAACCTCGTTCAATAAACCCATATTACTGCAATGAAGAAGTTCAGCCATTAATTCGCATGTCTTAAACCTGTCAAATCCCAGAGGTTCAATCCGAGTTCCCCAAGCGCTGTCGAGACGGGGTCTTTCAACAACTTTGTGTTGGCCAGCTTCATTCACCATATGTTTTGAACTGAGTATTAGATCCATAAAACCAGGCACATTTTTTGCAAACATGCGTAAGAGAGTCCCAAGGTAAATGGGATCATGAATCGTTGGGGGTGAGTCCGGGCCGCCAACATTTTCTGGGTCATAATCCGAGTTGTTCTTTCGGATCACTTCGATAACAATCCCAACTCCGACGGTAAGTGGGTTTCCACCTTTCAACATTGACGATATTAAAACTTCCACACAAGGCTGGGAAACTAGTTGGCGCGTCAAGCTGTTGGGTCCGATGCAAGACTGGTCATTTTGCGCAGCGTTAGCAGAAATCGTGATAATTGCTTTCAAAAAATCACCTGCTGATGTCTGGGTCGAAGAGGTATGCTCTGTCGAAAGGCAAGATAATAGGGATGGAATCAGGTCCTGTGATTGGAGCCACTGAATTTGAAACTGTTAGCTATGTTAGTCTAGAAATGCCAGTTATGGTGCTCACCTCAACAACTCCTTGGCCACCCTCTATCCTTTCAAGCGATATAATTTTCAAAAGCAAGTCCATGATCATAGGGTTATCCACATGTCGAAGGAGCGTGGGCACCACGCCATCTAATGACTTGATGAAAGCGAGCATTTCCTCGGACTTCTTTTCAAGAAGGACTTCGTTCACCTTCGTAAAATATCCGGATTGAAGTGGATCAAGCGGCACTTCCCTCCACAAGAAGTGCCAAAAGTCCCGTAGATATCCTTCATTGAGCATCATCGACTCAATGATTGACCAGGAATTAGAAGACAAGATTTCGCAAGCAATATAGGAATACTTCAAGCGTGACTTCTCTGCATTCTCCAGTTCATCGGTATCAAGACCGTAACTTAAACCAGCGGGTTTATCGTCGGCGAACTGCTGTCCTTTTTCCTTAGCCTGGTCGGACAAATCCGCAGTTGCCGCGACTTCGTGGTTTTCCTTTGCTTCTCCATCCCTACCCTTGTCCTTTTGTCCTTGCGCATCGTCATCGTGGTCGTCATCATCGTCATCTATCAGACTTGGTGAAATTACATAGTCAAGCAATCGTTTCAAGACATTATCGTCACGCAGATATTCTATAAGTTTCGTATTATGCTGCTTGAGCTCCTGCATAAGCTCCGACTCATCGAGAACTTCCTCGAGGGAGACATCTGCTTTCTCGAGGAGGGTATCGATAGCGGATATATTTGCATATCCACCAAAACGCCAGAACATGATGAGTTATAATTATATCGGAGAGGGAAACGGTAAAGATGATTCATTGACGTCAGGGAAAATGTGAAGTGATGAGTCTGCGATTTCTCTAACTTTTCGTATCTCTTTTTTCTTTCAGCTTCCAAGTATGCTTCTGTATCCGAGAGTCTATGCGCAAATTTTGCTATCCACAAATAATGATAATTCGCAAAGTATCAAGCACTGAAAGCGACGTGTAGAGACGAGAGATCGGTATTATGGTGGTGGTAAGATCGCGGACAATTTCGAGGTCGTAATCGGTGCTGAATAGGAGTAGAGAATAGAATATGGACGAAGCTACCATGCGCTATGTGGAAATACGATGTCAGTATGCGAGTGCGCGGACGGGGAAAGGGTAGGTGGTTAAAGATGTAGGGTAGGATCATTTAGGATGCTGACGGGAGAAAATGGGGGGGTGGTGGGTTAGGCCGCATATGACGGGAGAAGGGTAATTTGCAGCGTACCTTCGACATGAGAGAATGACGATGAAGATGAACAAATAATTCAAAGCAGCCTTGCCCGGGAGCTTGAGGCCAGTAACAGTCGAGAACGGGAGGTTGGTGTCGTATGGGCGGATGTTGGGGTTGAGGTCGGCAAGTTGAAGTTGACGTGTGCTGGCGCTGGCGTGGGTGCGGCTCTTTGCCCAAGGTTTCCGAAGAACCAGGCAAATATGTACTATACTCAACTATTGCAGCAACAACAACCACTAGGAATACTACCAATTATGCCACTGGCCACAGCGGGAGTAGACCGGTCTGTTTGGGGGTTACATAGCAGGCTGTTCTTAAATAAATCGACGTGAAAATTAAAGGATAACGTAGTTTTTTCTCTACTGTCAACTTGGTCTCGTTCGGCTACATCATGCTGTCAGCCTGTTGCTGCCATGGACTCCACTATCTGCAGAGTAGACTAATTTCAGGAGCACAATCATCAGGAGGCTTCACATAGATCCTTCTTCTTTCTGCATGAATCAAAGCCTGGAATGAAGGCCACCCTCTACATAGTAAATCAAACTGTTCGTTGAGAACTTTCGATACTGAGACCCCCGCTTCCTGTGATACATATTTGCTTCTTGATCAAAATTAGGGGCCAAGTGGGCTTTTTAAGATACATGCTCATACCTACAAAGCCATGTCACACCTATGGTTAATGAAAAACAACAAATGAAAAACAACTTAATCCTCGGCTTTCTTTGGCTGATTGATAGTTGAGAAGTCCAGGCCGGTGTGGGTGAGTTGATCGTTTGATGGCTTGGCAGGCGGCATGTGACCCAACCCTCTGACATCAGAACTTGGACCGTTATTTTAGTACGCTTTTCATCTTCCAACAGGCATCATTGATCGTGTCGAATATTGACGCTTGACTCTAGAGCACTTGAACGGTTAGCAAATCACGACTCCAGGGATTTTGCAGTATATTTCGTATTCGCTGATAACGCTCCAAGGCTATATATAACTCACCTGTTGAATTTGTCCCGCTGTCTTCACGGCATTCCCCAGACGCAAAATAGCACAAGTGCAAAACCGTTATGAACCGGTTATTTGGTACCAAGAGCTCTGCTCCGAAACCGACGCTCGATTCCGCAATCACAAATGTACGTTTGCTCATTCCCCGTCACCTAACAGTTCATAGCATTCCAAAGCGAACCTCCGCCCGAATTGTAACACATGTTAAACTGACTAACAGGTCGACAACCGCGTCGCAAGCATAGACGTAAAACTCGCCGCTCTAAATGCAGAATTATCGTCCTACCAATCTCGAATGGCTAAAATGCGCGACGGACCCGGGAAAAATGCCATACGTCAAAAAGCCCTCAAGGTGCTACAACGCCGCAAGCAATACGAAGCTCAGCGAGATCAACTGTCGCAACAGTCATGGAACATGGAACAAGCAGGCATGATGCAGGATAATCTGAAAAATGTCATGACGACTGTGGATGCGATGAAGACCACGACAAAGACGCTCAAACAGCAGTATGGAAAGGTGGATATCGACCAGATCGAGCGCATGCAGGATGAGATGCAGGATTTGATGGAAATTGGGAATGAGATTCAGGAGAGCATCAGCCGTGCGTATGACGTGCCGGAGGATGTGGATGAGGCTGAACTTGATGCGGAGTTGGAAGCGCTTGGGGAGGAGTCGATGTTCGAAAACGCTTTATCTGAGGATGCGACACCCGCATTTCTTCAAGACGAGGTTGCACCACCACAGTTTGTGGATGAACCTCCTGAGGAGGGGAAGGTTAAGGAGGCTGCTGGGTGAGATGGCCATGTAAGGCTTGCTCTCTTTTGTTGTCGAACGAAACTTCCGTGCGTTCTCTTCGTGCGTGGCCTCGCTTTAAATTGTATCTTGTGTTATTCCGAGCCATGTTTTGAACACATTTCTTAACATGAGGGCATTTCGCTGCTTTGGTGCTCAGATTGCCTGTGTCTTTGGTGTTTTTCAAATCATACAGGATGCCATTTAAACACGAGATTCAATTCTGAATCAGGAACCCGCACAACCTCTTTGCGCAATGCTGTGTAACTCGTTGGAATGCATTACTACTTGTTTATTAAGTGGAACATAACATATAGATATACCACTTCTCCCTACGTCATTCCGGCGAGTTTGGTTATGTATAGCTACTGTCTCATTCCACCCCCCCTCGTCATCAGAACTCCGGCTGGGTGGCTCAAATATGGAGTTTTTAGTTTAGTATGCAAGGTAACCAAACCGCCAAAATGATATTAGTGTTATTTATACATTCTCTTATCTATGTCTCTCTTTTGTCTTGTTCTCTTTCTTACTTTTTCATTTTTTTATATTTAATGTTACAAATGCAAGGTGCACATGGAAATATGACGAGCTGAGCAACAAGTTCCTTAAATCCTTGTCCCAAATTATACCCAGAGGTCAGTGCCAACAAATTTGGGTTTCTGGCGTTCGAGAAAACTCGAATTAACTGGCAGGATATTTTCGAAAGGCGACTGCAAAAAAACCCAGTCCAGGATATATCATGTTGCGCTAATATACCGGAGTAAAGCCTCGTGGAACTACATGTGCTAATATACTAGTAGTATAATCACGGTGGGATAAGATAATTTCTATGGAAAGTTGGTGCGTAGAGGGGAACTACAAGTTCGAAATTGGCCTGTTGTATCGTTGTCTGAGGCCAAAATCTCGAGGTCGTTCTTAGCGACAAACATTGTCGTTCTATTGGCTATCTTAGCGCTTAGCACGCTGAAAGATCAACGATTTTGGGATGAGCGATTGAAAACCGCACAAAGAAAGTAACACCAAACAATAAACCCATTGGGGCCAGGTCAAGACAGTGATTGACCACCGGTAGGTGAGCCATCCCGCCTGCGCTAATTAACCTGATATCGGATTGCTGTCTTATCCATCGAGCGTTCAAGATGGATGCGCCAAGGCCACCCCGCTTAGCTAAGTTATTTGTTATCGGTGTTGACCAACTAGTGAATCTCCGTTGCTGCAGCAACACCAATACCTGTTTCTCCATTCATCATAATTCTTGGAACAGCGGTCACTGATTCATTTATTATTGCCCCCCCATGGCCCTCAATGCTATTCATTGACAGTTCTCTTGACTATTTTTGTTTGTTGTCTTGCCTTCCTTGAGGATATCCTCAAGGAGATGAAGCATTTAACCGAACCTTGACACTGGTATGTTTGCTTGAATCCCATATCCCTCGATTCACTATTCGCATAGGCATTTAGAATACGGATATTCGATTTATTTTTTCTTTGTTACCACTTTATTAATTGTGTTTAGCCAGATATTTTTTGAAGCGGAGTGAGTGGAAACAAACCTAAGCGTCTTTTGTTTACCTTTGCACAGCAAGTACTAATCTCTATGCACATGTTCAGGACCCCATGAGAAACAGGATGTCTCCCGCCATGCAAAACTCAGGCATATTTGTTGATGAGCAGTCGGGCCATTCAAAAGCTTCGGGTCTGAGGTCTATTTTCCCGTCAAAGGCCCACAAGAGAAACCACTCAGCTGGTAGTGCCCTAATAGGGAATGCCCTGCCAAACAACCATACGTCCATGCCCCCTCCTATGTTGCCTCTGGACCATCCACATTCCTACACGCAGTGGCCATTGTCTGAGGTATCCCATAATGGGCCACCAGCCAAGTAATTCCCGCCTCCGCAACAAGAGTTCTGAGGCGAATTCGGATTATAGCTTGCATAAGAAAACGAAAAGCTCCGTATCGTTAAGGTCCCTCATGAAGGATTTTACAACACCCAACAAAACACCTTCCCCAGAGATCATCGTACGGGAAAAGAAGGCGAAAAAGACAAAGTCGTCCACCAGTTTGTCAGCAATTTTCAGAAGGTCCCAACGAGGGCGGAGGGATAATACTTCCAACAAACAGCAGAAAGATAAGGAAAACATGAATCCACCTCATTCTCCTACGGTTGAAATTTCGCCGCTATATTCGCATTTCGGCAGCACGTCCCAGCAGCAGGGTCAGGGAGGAAACCGCTATCTACCAGAAAGAGGGCGAACCTTGGACGAAGAAATGTCGCTCTATACTCCTAGGGGCTACTCGCCATCAAAGCAAAGGAATTTCCATGGCCACCAACTACCATTTCTAACGAAACGTTCCGATACAAAACCGAGGCCTAAGTCGGAATTTGTATTACCCACCTCTTCATCCATGAAAGATATGCTAGCTTCCGTACAGCGTTCGGGTGCTTCCAACGAACAGCAGTGGCAGAAAGGAGGTGATAGCTGGGCTAACCACGTTCGCCGCGGATCTCCAACAGAGCATGAACTGAAGAAGCGACATGAGCCGGGCGGAAAGCGGGGGTCCAGAGTTTTGGCAGCCATTACAGCATTAAACGCGAAGGAGAAGGCAATGGAGCCACCACAAAAGCCCTTAGATAGTGATGGAATCGAAGGGGCATTCGAAGCGCTTTTGGTAAGATAGACCTTCTAAACATAAGACTAATTATCTTCTAACCGATTTACTTGTGGAAAGGATTCTCGGAACATTCCTCATAATATGCGTGATAAGATGCGATCTTTGGATACAAGTATCAAAGCTGATTTCATACGGAAGCACCATCTTGATGTTAATCTATCTACTACATCAAACTCTAGTCAGGACCAAAACACATCGAGTGGCTCTGCTAATGGTGGAAAGGATTCCAGCGGAAAGGGATCAAGATCCCAATCTCGGACCCGTCCATTTTCAATCTCAAGGGCGGACATACTGTCGCCTAAAAGAAGCAATGAGAATATGACTACTCACAAGCGTCCAAAATCGGTTGATTTATCTCGACCCGGATCTTCCAAAGGATTACCTAGTTCCAACTCAATGACGGGGATAGCATCTCAGGCCCAACCAGACCATACAGCAGATCCCACTGGCTTTGTTCACTACCTGCGAGAGGTTCAGAAGCCAGAGATAGTTGAAGTTGGCAAGCTACACAAACTCAGAATACTTTTGAGAAACGAGACAGTGACATGGGTTGACGCATTTATTTCCCATGGAGGAATGAACGAAATCATTGAACTTTTGTACCGTATCCTCAAGGTGGAGTGGCGGTGTGTATTGTCCTATCCGTTAACAGTATTATGAGATCAAAATACTTACTATTCTTTGATAGGGAGGAACACGAAGATGCCTTGTTGCACGAAACTCTTCTTTGTCTGAAGGCACTTTGCACGACATCATTGGCTCTTCGTCATCTTTCATCCGTCGAATCAGTGCTATTTCCAACTCTTTTGCGTATGCTCTTCGACGAGGAGAAGAAAGGCCCGAGCGAATTCACAACTCGGGGTATTGTTCTTAGTCTGCTTTTTACTCACCTATCGTCCGCATCTGCGGAAAATCTGGTGCCTCGGGCTAAAACAATTATGGCATATATGCGCGACCCTACTCCACCAGAAGAATCCCAGCCATTGAACTTCATTGCAAGCATTTATCAACCTCGTCCATATCGTGTGTGGTGCAAGGAAATTAGCAATGTGACTAAGGAGGTATTTTGGATATTCCTTCATCAGCTCAATGTCGTTCCCGTCACGGAAGCTACAGAGATTAATTCAGAACCCTACTCGAAACGTTATTTCCCTCCTCCCCGCCCACCAGTTCCAGCTGCCCCTTATGTTGGTGGTGTGGAATGGGATGCCACTAACTATATCGCAAATCATCTCGATCTCTTGAATGGTTTGCTTGCTGCGTTGCCCACTGCAAGTGAGCGCAATACGTTACGAACTGAACTTCGGGCATCTGGTTTTGAGAAAGTGATGGGCACCAGTCTACGCACTTGCAAAGAGAAATTCTACTCCTCAGTACACGATTCTTTGAAGCTTTGGGTTGCTGCGGCAGCGGAAGATGGATGGGATTATAAATTTGTTCGCGAAGGCCCAGCCCGAGGTGGTCCGGATTCTACCTCAAGAAGTCCCATCAAGTCTACCCCGGGCTCTCCGAAAAAGCGGGTTGGGCTAGTGAGCGACGAGCCGCCTAAGTTAGATCTCGCTGGAGAAATTGGCCATGGAGCAAGCGAAACTAGGAGCGGTTGGCTTTGATTTTTATCTCATGAAAAACAAGTCCCACTCTTTGTGTTGTGATATCTTCAAAGTTCGCATTCTGCACTGAATTTATCGCACTTCTCCTTTGTAGATGTCTTTTTGTTTTTACTTCCTCATTGCCTATGGCGTTTTGGTTTTCGATGTTGACTTTTATGACATTTTGAACTTATTTTCTAATGATTGGCAGAGCTCTCTTTTTTTCTCTATTGAAGGTTACTCTCGCCTTTGGAAAGGCTGTTCATGTACTGTACAAACCAGCCGCACGAATTACATGCCTTCTACTCATCAGTGGCATTAATGAAATGATGAATAAATGGGTATTTAATGAGATTCCACTTTTAACATGATCACTGTTGGTATTCCCTTTTTTTTTTTTTTTTTTTTTTTTTTTTTTTTTTTTTTTTTAATTTCTTTTTTTGATATTATCACCTGGTAGATTGGCTCTTGGAAAACATACCTCGGAAATCTTTCGATGTTATCATCTCCCTAACCTTATACGGGGATCGGACCTTGCTTGACCTCCGTTTTTAGTGTACTTTTGCATCTGCTAAACATCCATCGTATTTTCCCCGCCAGTTTCTTCTTCATGTTCTTATCTAGAGTCCAGCTGAGTGAGTCGCTTGTTCTTGACAAGCAGGACAACAGAGGACCGCTCTCGAAACAGCTCCCGCACTACTCATACTACTCAATCTCCAGAAAGCATTCCGCGGCATTCAGGGGGATGTGAGGACAAAAATATTCTGAATCCGGTCACAACAAATACCCACACCTGTCGGCGCACTGTTGAAGGTTCAAGTTGGCATTCGACCTGCGGGCAGTATTCACACTATGTAAAGAGGGTACGTACACTCCACGCCCTGTAGCACTTCAACATCATCTGACACGTCTTGCCGAGGCCACTGTGGCAATTCAGCTGAATTTGGCGAAAAAAGTCGGAGTTGGAGAGGTGGGAGTGCAAGGGGATGTTGAGATCACACATTGATAAGGTGTTTCCATTCAGGTGAACAACAAGTCATTTCCTTCCAGACATGCAAAACACCCACCACGCATGAATGTCGCTACATTTGGGGCCGGCGGCCGATGAATCTTGGATCCTGCACCATCCCTCACAGCGGGGAACACCAAGTTCCCCAACCTCTTACTGGGTGGAGACACAAGTCCCTGGGTCGCTTGTTAATCGCAAGCCGCAGTCTCCAACCCGGTCACTCAAGTGTCTTAATTATGGTTTGGGAAACATGTTTAATCCAAGACACCATTTTAAGCCCTACCGTTTTCTTGCAACAACCTTGAACGTTGTACCTGGTGGAAGTGCATCTGATATATCTGCGCCTCATCTACTGTGCAATGTAGGACAATTTCAGATGTGGTGTGGTTTAGTCATCGGCATACAGCTACACGCCTTAATGCAGGGGATAATTTGCCGGTGAAACCACCCAGACAGTCATGTTCTGTCTTCTCAAATTTCTCCCTCTAGGACTCTGGAAGCTAGTTGGGTGGGCCCGAAATGGGTATTTGATGTTCCCCCGCAATTTGCAAGGCTATCTAGTAGATTGTGACAAGGTTAATGATCGAAGCTAGCTTTGCATCTAATGCCATTCATTAACTTTCGTCCAATCCTACTGAGCTTCGATTCCTCCAGAAACCCTCCCAGCTTCCCCAGAGAGACCTCGAATTCGATCTTGAAGTTTGCGAATAACGTGGGAGGATTGGGTTAACGCTAGGAAGTTTAGGACCCCATATATTCCCCATCCTCAACATACGACGTTCATTGGTCGTATTCGGAATCGAGAATATCAAGGCACTACGATGCAGGTCCGCCACCAGGCTTGTCCCTCGGTGTCCTGCTCTCGAAACGTCGTCTCCTTGGATGGAAGGGACCTGGCCTCTGTGCAAAGCGGGGGTTGTAAATATATGCGTATTGTCAACCGAGTTTTGCGAAAATTTCTTCGGCTGCTTCTATCGTTTGCGGACATGGACAAGTCATAGTTTAAAAGCATTGCTGTTGCTCATTTGCCCAAAAAAAGCCGTTGCTTTGACAAAGAATTTTAAAGCAAAGACAAAGAGCACAACAATTTTCCACGAGAAGGGTTTTCCAACCCTACCCGTCAAGCTTAATATCCCCTTGTCATACTCCTTCGACTTTGCTCCTTGACTTGAACATCTCAATAGAAACTTCACAAAATTACTCAAGCTTTTGAGATGGACCACGAAAAGCGTGAAGACAGTTCTTCAAGGGAAGAGGTAATCGATATCAATTATGTGGATAACATCGAAGCCTCAGCAGTGAATGAAAAGGCTTTGATTCGCAAAGTCTACTGGCGTTTACTCCCAATTCTGGGGGCCTTGTATGCCATTGCTTTGATTGACCGTGTCAATGTATGATGCCTTACCTCAAGGATATAGTTTTCTGCCGTTCATTTTTCTTGCCTCCCGTTTGCTTGAACGAGACATTGACAAGTCCTTTTGGTCGACAGATATCCAATGCGCGTGTAGCCGGAATGAACAAGGAGCTGGAACTACACAGAGGATCACGATATACCATTGCCCTGCTTGTCTTCTTCATTCCGTATTTAATTTTCGAGGTATGTCATCGGAAAATGAGCAATTTCGCTTCGTCTCGGTTGAGATTTCCACATGTAAGAATGCAGCGCTAATCTACTCAATATCCCGGGACTAGTAGCTCCCTTCCAATATCGTTCTTCGAAAGGTTAGAAGTACCAATTAGCTTACTTTTGTTGCCTTCGGATGGGGAGGTTTCATGCTGGGACAGGTGCGTGGCTAACCATGAGATTTCGTTCCTGAGTTTTATTTACTTTTGTCTAGGGGTTCGTGAACAGCTACGAAGCTCTTACTGCCCTACGCTTCCTCTTAGGATTCTTCGAAGCCGGTATGCTTACATACGACCAACAACGACAGGAACAAAAGCAACGGCTGATTTTGAAATTCTCCATAGGGTTTTTTCCTGGCAGCGTGTACCTAATATCTTGTTGGTACATTCGGTATGAAATGCAAACACGGTTCGTAGACCTAGTCTTCCATTCAGAAAATCTCGGTAACCAGCATAAGTACTTACTCAGTGCTGCTAGGCTTGCTGCATTTTACCTATTTTCCGTCCTTGTGGGAGGCTTCTCTGCTATTCTCGCATATGGCCTCATGCAGATGGAAGGGCTACGGGGCTACCTTGGCTGGAGGTGGATTTTTGTAAGTCGTGCGAAGTTGAGAAGATCTCACACTCACACAAATAGGGCCAACTAACTTGAGATAATATTCCAGATCATTGAGGGTCTTCTCACGCAAGTTGTGGCAATAATTTCAAGGTTCCTGATCATTGATTTCCCGGACAAACCTCAAAAGACCGGTTTCCTGACAGAACAAGAAGCTGTATTTATTGAGAACCGCATTGAGAAGGATCGCGCTGATGCGGTCAATGACCCCCTGACTTGGGCGAAGTGTGGAGAACATTTGAAGGATCTTAAGCTGTGGGCGTTGTAGGTATTCCGGCGAAATTCATCTCACGCAAGTATGCGCTAACCGATATTCAGTGCTTTAATGTTCATGTCAACTACAACGCCTGCGTGAGTCTCCAGCCGTATCAATAGAATGACAACTGAATGGAAAAAATTCTAACTGCGTTTTTCTAGATACGCCTTTGCTTATTTCTCACCAACTATTATTCAAGTAAGTCAAGCAGCCAGATAATACTCCACGATTACTCATCCAAACTAACAGAATATAATTTGTAGGGCCTGGGATATAGCGGAGGAATCGCAAATCTCCTTTCTGCACCTCCTGTTATTTTTGCAGTTATCTCCGCGTACTCCTTTGCCTTGGTGGGAGACAAGTACCGCCTCCGTGGCCCCATTATTGCAGCGCAGTGTATCATTAGCATCGTCGACCTTATGATCACTGCATACCACGCGAAACCCGGCGTTCGCTACTTTGGCATATTCCTCGGCACTGCTGGGTGTCAAGGAAACGTCCCTGCCATCCTCGCCTACCAATCTAATAATATCCGCATGCAGTCGAAGAGGTTTGTTGGAAGTGCATTGCAAATTGGATTCGGTGCCATTGGAGGCATCATTGCCTCGACGACGTTCCGTGAGGTGGATGCCCCCAAGTATATTCCCGGCCTGTGGACAACAGCTGGCTTGCAGTTCCTTATTTTGACATTGTTGGCTTGCACAACTATCCATTTCTTGCGGGAGGAATAAGCAGGTTGATACTGGCACTGCGATAAAACCGATTGAGGGGCTCGAAGGCTTCAAATATACATTATGAGTAAGGTGGTGAGTTGGTTATTGACAGCATAATTTAAAGGCTTTTACTTGGAGAGAGGATAACGTTATTGAGATGGTAAATTAGTTTTTGCCCAACATATGAATAATGACTCTTAGATTACTTGTTATTGGACACATAACTGATTTAATGAGAGGTTGCCAGCATGCTCACTGCCCAACCAAATGCCTAACGACATTACACTCAGATATGAGCCCGGAGTACTCCGGTTTTCAACATCTAGGACCAATGTCACCCTGTCAACAGGCTGCGGACCGAGAGCCCTGCAAATGGAGCCCACTTTACGGGGGATTGTATATTTTAGTGCTTTTATTTAGCTTTTTGTAGTGTATTCCCAATGGTTCCTTCATGGAGAAGTCCAACTTGCTGACGAACGGTGGAGGTGTTGGTGGCCCCCAATTTTCCAATACTAATATATGGCTTTATTGTAGCGCAAGCATGAGTTCATGACGTCGAGTGGGTTGACTACTACTAGCTTTTTCGGAGCTGTCGGCTATTGTGATGACCTTAAACCAGTACAATAAAGAGTATGGGAAACATATCCGAACACATCAAATTCTGTTTATATTACTTTTGGCCCCCGAGATTTTTCAAAATGCAACGCTATAGCTTCTTCAACCCCTCAAAATCGCGGCACGTGGGCAGGTATGAAACCTGGCTGACATGTTAGAATAGCTGATTCTGATCCCAATTTTTGTGGGGTGAGGAGACATGTAGCTGCGTACATTGGTTGCTGGTTCCGGTGGGACTGAATTACCATTCAAGTTGTGGAGTTTCGCGGGTGGTCCACGCCCAGCTCGCGGGGGAGAGAACTATCTGCCGAAATACGAACCAAGTGTGAAGACGGCGGATAGGGTCCAGATTTCCTACATCATTATTACTTGACCAGAGGCAAGCAGAGTATGTAGCATCCACTCCAACAAGGAGACTTTTCGAATGGGCAATGGGTCGGATTCCCTGAATTCTCTTGGAAGTTTGGCGAGAAAGCTCAAGACTCCGCCCCAACAACAATCGTAGCTAAAAATAATACAAACCCATTTTGAGCGATTCTGCTGATGGTTTGTTTCTTAGAGTCGTCACAGCCAGGAGGGGGGAAAGAATGCAAACGTAAAGCCAATTCCCGTCATTCCACCCAGCGCATGCTTTTCACATATCACATTCCGCCGAAAGACATTGACATTCGACCTTCCCATCAGTCTTCCGGCTAGAAATCATGTAATGATTAGGTTAGATTTGGGTAAGTTCGTCAGCTAAGCATCACGGATTTAAAAAAGCATTCCAAGCAGAAATATATATTGGTCCTTCTATAAATACAAATGATATCCTTCCTGCTCCTCTGCTAATACCTAGTAACAACTCTCAAGAATCATTTTTAGCGGCCTTTGGGGCAGGCTTGGTTGGCTCCTTCTGGAATGAAGGCTGGGGAGCAGTTGAAAGGAGGCCCTTCAAGGATTGATGGACATAATCTCGGATCTATCGCAAGGCGCAAAAATATTTCGGTTAGCCAACGACGGACGAAGGGCTGGGAAATAAATGGGGGATGCGTAGGGAACTAGAAATGATATGCGTGACGGAAATTTAATGATGGAATTGGCGAGAGCAAGACTAACTGGTTGGAATGGGTTTGCCTTTTCCTCCAAGTCCAGGAACAATACACAATATACCATAACCCCTATTCCGGCCCCGCAAAGTTGTCGGTCAGTATACATAGTCTGCAGGCTTACTTCCTATGATTGTAAAAGGAAGGACCTGAGAGTCTTTCTTGCGCTTGTATTTGAGGGGAGGTGAACATACAGCTAATAGCCGCCCACTGTACCAACTTTGTCCACTTAGTCCATGTAGGGCGTGCCCATTTCAATTTCGCCCGCCTTCTGTATTTCCGCTCTAATCTGAACTGCTGCTTTCGCGATAATTTCGAGACATCTGGTGGCCATATTCGTTTTGCGCGATGTGGATTTATGTATACCGTTGACGGGCTTTCGCTTTGGCTGCCGCTGCTGCTGGTGTCGATGCTTGTGCGTGTTGCGTGGCAGTCAGCATCAGGGCGATTTGAGGATTCGAGTGAGGGTGAAGTCGGAACTGAGGTATTGAATGCGCATTTTTGTAACGTGCGGAGAGTCGAGGGCATGGTGGAGGAGACAGAAGCGGGCGCGGGCCGAGTGGGATGTGAACGGCATAGGCACGGCATCGAGAGATAGTAGCTCTGCAAGTGAGCGAATTAGTTTCAAGTATTTAAAACGAATATTCAAGTTAGGTTATGATTAGACCATACCGCACTGTTATTGGGGAGGGGGCGGCTCCATCTTGAGATATTAAATGCTGTCGCAAAGCTCGACGTAGCTCGGATCGTTAAACCCGATGATCTTGGAAGTGACATTGCACAATTATATCTCCTAACTGACAACTAGAACGCGACAGGTCTTCAGTCAGAACGTAGATGTGGAAAAGAAAATATCATTGCGAGTGGTTGTATAGTATTCGGGGCAACAAAAAGGAATTGCAGTTGGTTTGGAGTCTTGGCAAACTTATTCGACTTCCTATCGGGCCGTGAGGAACTACAACTGTATGTAACTTAGTTTCCTTACAAATTGATAGATTTAATTGATAACAACCCAACAACCCCATTTGATGTGCATATGCCTCTTGGTAGATATCTTCTGCAATTGTATATCATTGCCCATGAGTTTTGTTCACTCCATAGCCGTGAGCATGGTGTTTTTTGATACTATCAACACGAAAATAAGTTCTCATGAAGGCCCTCCCCTCTCGTCCTCCTCTGTACGCGAGATACTCCGTACAGATAACAAAAACTCCCTAATTTGCGTCAAGAGAAGGCACTGTGGGTGTATGTAACATGCAACTCTGACGATGAATGATGCGACGTGATAGGGTCGCTACTATTCTACTTCTCCCTCATCGTAGGACCTTAACTACTAGAGGACATGTACGTGACAGGGCACCAGCTTAAATCAGATAAGAAAGGCGGATCCTATAAAAGAAGTCTTCTTGAGTACGGAATATTGCTGGAAACCTGCGTAGTATACAGAATATATATGCGCTCTTTAAAATGTATGTACTGAATCCCGGATATGCCCCACCTTTCGTACTCTATTGAAGGTAAACCGAGTTTGCAGATCAACCTACTTTCCTCAATCTCAGGAAATCCCGGCTGGCAGCAAGGAGGAGTTAGTTGTGTTGTGGAGCCGTAAAAAATGGAAACGAGGGCTGGACAAAGTTGTTGTTGCTTCCAGTTTCACATGTCAATGTCACGATTTGTTAGGGGGTACTACGGCTACCCTATCACGTGCCCCCCAACATATTGTATTGCTCTCGCGTAGTTAGTTTTAGTAATGACAACAACGTTATCCTCCCACACGATTATTGGTCACGTGCGGTATAGCTCTCCGGAACAATTATGATCCGGAGAGCCTCGGCTTTCGGTGTGATCAAGTGCTCTGGATACTGGATATAAAATAAGCATCCAACTCTCAGCCCTTGTTCTTCCGCTTTTCCTTTTCAATTTCTTCTGGCCCGTCTTCAGATCTTTGTATGTCCCTACGGTGCTTTATCCATTATCTATCCATTTCCTCCATCTACGTTGACTCTCACCATGTCTCAAGGTATGTGCCATCTCCATAACTAGTGTGCACGTCATTACATTCTGCCTCTCAACGCTAACATGTGATGATTCCTTGCAGCAACGCAGCGTCTTTCACAGGTCACTTCGCACCTTACCGGCAAGGGCGGAGTCTCCGCTATCACCGCTAAACACCCGGACGACATCGTCGTGACCTGTGCCCTGCGGACAGCCATCACCAAAGGTGGTAAGGGCGGCTTCAAGGACACCGCCGCATCCGACCTGCTGGCTGGTGTATTCAAATCTTTGGTTGAGAAATCCAAGATCGATCCTGCCTTGGTCGAAGATATTGCTGTTGGCTCTGTTTTGCCTCCTGGAGGAGGAGCTACTGAGTTCCGTGCTGCAGCTCTGGTTGCCGGATTTCCCGAAACCGCCGCTGTTCGGTCTCTCAACAGACAGTGCTCGAGCGGGCTCCAGGCAATTGTCGATATTGCCAATGCCATCAAGTGCGGGATGATTGATGTTGGCATCGGCGCTGGCGTCGAGAGTATGTCTCAACAATATGGGTAAGTTACTCCCTTCTTATTGGCTGTGCTGTAATGCGATTCCCTCCAGATGTAATATAAGGATAAAATTAGCCCCGACTAACTTATCCTCCAGTCCTGGTGCAGTCTCCGAATTCTCTGAACTGCTCGAAAGCAACCAAGAAGCCGCCAATTGCAAAGTGCCTATGGGCATCCTCTCCGAGCAGATGGCCAAGGACCGCAATATCACGCGTGCCGAGCAGGACGCCTTCGCCGCCACCTCTTACCAGAAGGCCGTCAAGGCCCAAGAGGCGGGGCTCTTCAATGAAGAAATAGCCCCACAGACCGTTAAATTCGTCGATCCAAAGACAGAGAAGGAATCGACCATCACAGTCTCTCGCGACGACGGTGTGCGGACGGGCATCACGGCCGAATCGCTCTCCAAGATTCGCCCAGCCTTTGCCAAGGACGGCAGTATACACGCCGGGAACTCCTCGCAGATCTCTGACGGCGCCGCTGCAGTCTTGCTCATGAAGCGCTCTACCGCTGAGCGCCTGGGTCAGCGTATCATTGGCAAGTACGTCACTGCCAGCGTGGTTGGTGTCAAGCCACTGCTGATGGGCATTGGGCCGTGGAAGGCCATCCCCGTCGCGCTGGAGAAGGCGGGTTTGTCCAAGGATGACGTTGATATCTATGAGATCAATGAGGCGTTTGCGTCGCAGTGTGTGTGGTGTGTGAAGGAGCTGGGGTTACCGCTGGAGAAGGTCAATCCGAAGGGTGGTGCTATTGCCTTTGGACACCCGCTTGGCTGCACAGGCTGTAGACAGGTCAGCACGCTCCTGACGGAGCTGAAGAGAACGGGGAAGAGAGTTGGGGTTACTAGCATGTGTGTTGGCACTGGAATGGGTATGGCCGCTGTCTGGGTTGCGGAGTAGGTTTGCTGGTTATAGATGAAGATAAAACAATGATGGGTATTGGGTATTGGCGGGCGGTCATGCAATCTCCACGGCATTCCAAGTACGTTTTCCTATGTTCATTCATTTTCCTAGAAATGGTTAGAGCGAAATTGCTCATCATTGGTCGCTCTTGTTTTGCATTTTTGTCTATTTCATTTCGTTCGTTTTGTCATATAGGTGTTTTACATACTACTGTAATCTGTACAAGTATGACATAGTTATTGCTTTCTTTCATATTTTATGTTCTCGGCTTATATTGGAGACTGCAGACGGCAGTACGGAATAAAATGACCTAGACTGATTAACGCGCGATATCGGAGACGCGGATTATCGAAGAAACCCCACATGCTAGCCCCAATCCTCTGGTGAGGGGGCTTTGGAAATGTTCAATATATATATATATATATATCTATAATATTAAGAAGGAGCAAAGTAGGCGGGAGCTGTCAGCTAAATAGTTACACCAGAGTAATTACATCAATTCCATTAAATGCTGCGATGCTTATTAAAGGAATCGAAGACGCTTGCCCCGCTCAATACATCTTCCTTGACCTTCTCATCCGCGGCGGCAAGTTTGGGCACTAAAGCCAGGACTTCGTCGAGAAGTTCAGCGGGAATAACCGCAGCCCCTTCAAGAGGGTCACAAAACGCAATATCGCCCTGGAGATTTGGAGATTTGGAAGGTATTAGCTAGGGTGGGACTGGGGGGGATTATTACGATTTAATTTATGACTATTACAGTTTTCCGGAAGGAGGGGTGAAAATATATTTTTTCTTACCGGAGAAACAGTCACTCCACCTATCTTCACCGGCACGTTTCGAGCACCTGGTTTGGCTTCTGCACTCGTGCCAACGGTGGATGTAGCTCGAGCCCAGATCTATTTTGGTTTGCTATTAGCGGCGTCCATATGCTTTTATGATTAAGGTTGCCTTAAATATATGGAGATGAATCTCCAATAATAAAAAAATAAAAAAATAGAAAAAATTAAAGGAAAGGAAAGAGATTTCAAAGTCAAGACTTCTCCTTTTCGCACTGACTTGTAGCTGTGTACTCCGCAACTCAGCCAAATCCCGCACTCGGCCATCCACAACTACCCCTTTCACTCCTAGGACCTTCATTCGCGCAGCCATTATGCCACCAACGCTGGCACAAAACTGGCCGGCTGGCTGCTCGATGAAGACGACAGTCCCCGGCTGTGCGCAGTCCACCCAATGGTGGCCGGGCGGGATGGTATGATCCTTTGATGGCGACGTATCTTCCGGGAGAGGATCATTTTTCGGTATGAATTTGAACGTTGACGCGGGGCCGATTGCTTTTGGTTCGTTTTCTAGGTTGATTTGGGATGGGGAGAATGGGACTTTTTTATTTATTAATTTTTTTTTTTTTTTTTACGGTTTTATTAATTCATCCATTCTGATGTATGTATATCACCTAGGGAGCTTTCTATTCTCCCAATTTGGGTTGATCAAGGATAATGCTTGCTGCATTATTTAAAAGAAAACGGGAATGCATTTGATACACCCCGATATCTTCTTCTTCCAAGGTCACTGGAGGCATGTGTAGGCAGGCTCACCAATATCAGCAAGAAAACCAGCGCGGGCAGTTTCGCTTCCTGGAACTTTTTGGATTTTCAGAAGAGCATCTGAGACCTGCGGATAGATGTGAGATTCAATTGCTGCACAATCTGCACCCGATATATCTTGTTCGATTAGGGAGAAACGAAATGACGCACATCGCAAACAGAATACCCCTGCAGAATATTTAGCTTCGCCTCGAGCGATCTTGATGTCATACTGCGCGGCACGGCGGAAGATGATAGGTTGATATCGTGACTACTAGTATTCAAGCCAGGGATAATTTGGGAGCAAATTCTATGTGGCCGTGGGAAGGTCTTATTGCTATGCCGATATGGACTGGAGTCGAAACTTGCTACCCGTTTCGTTTTTCTCGGGGACATAGTGGGGTATTTTATGATGTTGGCCGAAGCAAAGGCAAACCTCCACTTAACGGAATCGAACTACTTAAACTGCCGAGATCTGACGGGAGGGGTTTTGTGGAAAGGAAACTGCCGAGCATCTAAGTTAGTGTACTCCGGACTGTGTCATAGGATGCAATCGGTGTTCTTGATGCGTTTGATCAAAAGTTGAAGACTTCCACAGGGGGCAGCTTGTTAATTGCTAGTATCCACTGTTTAGTAACGACCCCAAGGCTATTTTCCTGAATTGCCAACGACACTGTGTCAAGTTCTGTAAGAATAAATCTCCAAAAATTCCTAATGGAGGTTCTGGTCGCCTTTGCGTTCTAAAAGTGCCTGCTCGACCAAGCATCCGAAAGTATTCTATGGCAAACCAGAATACGAGAACACTCTGAAGCATGTTGGGCTAGTGCTAGTTTTGTAACTAAGTAACTAGTTATTAGAGTGAAAAATGCCCCGCGATATTGAAATCTCGGTTGGCGGCGATTTTCAATTAAACATTCATATGCTCAAATAATTTACTGAGAAGAAGGCCGACGACTTATTATTGGGCCTGCGGGATTTAATTCATCGGTATAACATGGCTTCTCAGCTCCCTACTTATACTTGCGAACAACTCGCCAAATACATCAGTTTTACCTTCGGCTGCCCTCCTGACCAAGGCATGACCAAGTTGGTTGAGCTGGAGGCTCTTGTCCAGAAAGATCCACTGAAGGCATTGACCATGCTCCAACAACGACAGCTCGCGGCCGTACCGTTTTCCAATGTGGTGTTGCATTACTCGCAGCACCAAACCATCTCCCTGGACCCTGACTACCTGTTTCATAAACTTATCGAGCGCGGCCTGGGTGGCTATTGCTTGGAAAACACCGGCCTCCTGGCCATAGTGATACGGTCGCTGGGATATCAGTTTTATACTACCGCAGGGAGAGTGAGCAAATCTTATGATTCGCCTGCCAGGGCGGGTCAATTTCATGGATGGTGAGGAACTCCGATACATAGAGGAAGACTCCTTGAGATAGCAGAGACGAAAAGGAGCAGCCGGAAGAAACTGCCAGAAAATATGCCAGGGTCATTGTATGGCGATACAGGAAGCTGACTGGTACCCGCAGGGGCCACATGATACTGGTGGTAACTCTCAACAGGAATAAGTACATCGTAAGCCCTGCTCCTCTGTGTCTGAAATCTTTCTGCAGGACATCGCTGAATGGCTGCGGCATAGGTGGATGTTGGATTTGGTCCGAATGGCCCCACCCGTCCTCTGTTGTTGGAGGAGGATAAACCCGTCACGTCCTTTGCTCCCGCGCAGATGAGGATGATAAAAGATAATATCAGCCCAAATGTGGACCGGAGCCAGCGACTGTGGATGTACCAAACCAAACCAAAGCCAGAAAGCGACTGGAGGGACGCCTATTGCTTCTACGAAGTCGAATTCCTGCCACAAGACTACGAGATCCTGAACTTCTGGACAAGCCGACACCCCACTAGCACATTTAAGCAGAAATTTATCTGCACCAAATTTCTTTTGAATGAAACGGAGGATGATATCATTGGGACCTTGGCGCTAACAGGAGTTGATATGAAACAAAATATCAATGGTAATCTAGAAAAGATCGCGACTCTAAATTCTGAAGCGGATAGAGTTTCTGCATTGGGGAAATGGTTTAATGTACATCTCCATCCAATGGAGATTCGGGGAATCAAGGGTGGGGTGGCAGAAATTCAGACGTCAATATAAACAAGTCTAAACCATGCAGCCAATTCTCCTGTTCAATTGTAGGAATACAGCTGTTTTTCTTCCTTTGATCTCGCAAAGTTGCAAAGTAAGTGTAGCTATGACAGAGTATAAAGGGGAAAAAAGAATGTTTTAGTAAAATCGTCTCTCCGTCTAGTCATCAAATCAGCTTTGTAACTCGTAGATGAGGATCAAACATAGCATCTAGCCCTTACCTTCCATGGGTTGTTAACCTCGAATCCTGCTGGCGCCTCATGGCCATTATTTTGCCCTCTAAATATTCCCGTGATCCGTCGATCCCGTTCCATCACTAAATAATGTCAGTCTTCGATATCCGGCCGCCAATGTGCGAATACGTACTTTGCTGTTCAAAGGTCAGCGGATTATCCAATCAATGGAGCTCGACAAAAAAATGCATACCTTATCCCACATATCAATAGCCCGTCTTGGGTTTTTTCTTCCATTCGAATAGTACTTCACCGTCGACAGCCCGACCCCAGTGACACCGAACATCTAATGGTTGAGAGGTGAGCATCCGTCTTCCAGGCAAAGCCGGTAGGGTACATACCACCATGATAATCCCATAAGGGAGAAGGGCCTCGAACGGAACGCCCATAATTGTAGAATACACTTCAAGACGACAGCCAATGATACCTCAAGCCTAGCTCCTCTAAAGAAGCTGCAATTGCACAGAGACACGCGGAATTGAGAAGATGGTTGCGATGAATTGACGACGGGTTTGGCCGTTGCCAGATGGAGTTTAGCGTTCTACTATCTTGGCGTTCGGTGAGTAAGCAACATTCATCAACCCAGACCGCACTCCAGCCAGGAGGGGGCTTTGTGTAGAAAAAGCATCAGCTGGTGAGAAAGCAGACTGAAGGGATGAGCCAGTTGTAATTTACGCGTCCGTCCGGTAGTTGCCGTAAGTTTTCCTGGGGGCCTTTTCTTTAATGTTCTCTCTCCCCTGTTCCCAGCGCGTTTTCTTGACAATCCCCATCCTACCCCATGAAACTTCAACTAACAAAGACTTTGCGTTGATTTTTAGCTACTTTAATTTAACGACATATATCCTCGGTCGCATGGTTGTTTTTGCGCAAACTGGTAGCTTATAGCTTTTCGCTGATTCTACCCTACAGTGTTGCTGCAGACGTCCGCATCTCCAACCCTTGGGGTACAAGCACCTGCCAAGGCGAACCTCACATCTCCCCCGAACGATATATAAAGGAACAAGCTGTGCAGTCATCTGCCAACCCGAGCAGAGTGGCCCAATGGTCTAGGCGCATCGTCAATCTGGCGACTGCAGTAGCTTATACCATGGCGGCGACTGTGCCGGCCACTTACGGAAATACCAGCATCGATCGACAGCCAGAACTGGTAGATAGTGACCAAGATGCTGAAGGCGATGAAGATGATGAATTGTATCCAACCCTCACACAATCAGCGACTGTAATACCACAAGAGAATATCGGTACCCCTCTAACGATTGGAAATGGCGACGAGATAATTGAAGCTAGTGAACGAGAAGAGAATGACGGGGGTGGTGTTGGGGAGGTCCATAAACCTGAGACGAACCATAGGGATGATGTTGCTGATGTGGATGAGGATGAGGATGCGGATGCTGATGCAGACGAGGAGACCGAGGCCATCGGAGCTGTGAAGTTCCCAGATGGCAATGCTAAATCCGATAGCGATGATGAGGACGACGATATTGACGACCCGGATGTTGAATTCGAAAACGAATCCAGCGATGTCAAGGCAGGCTCTGATGGCGAGTCATCTGAAGAGTCGGAAGTAGATGAAGAATGGGAGGCCGAAAGCAACGACGGAGAAGATGCAGACGCAGATGCGTTAAATCCCAACAATTGCATGTAAGTTTTCAAACAGTACATATGAACAAACGAAATAGTCGCTAATTACATATAGAGTCTGTGGACAAGATGAAGAACACGATCCTAGTGAAGAGTTCGAGGAATATTTATCATGTGCCGTTTGTGGTGATCATTGTAAGTTTTGATGAGTTTTAAAATGCTTGGCTCGTTCCCTGACGGAATTGTGGAGTTGAGTCTAATCAATTGGTCCTTAGGCCATCGCCAATGTGCGCGAGAACGGGGAACTTTAAATAGCGAAGAAGGTATTTTTCCATATCACTTGTCATTCCCGCTTTCTTAAATTCCTAGACAAGGCTAACTAACTCGTCAATTTATTAGCTGCTGAAAATTGGAGATGCCCTAGTTGTGTTAACAACAAGCTAGAGCCTGATAAACACGAAAGGACTCCATCCCGGCGGAGATCAGGCACATCAAACATTGCAATCGATCTACTGCCCGCTCATAGCGAAGCGTTAGGCCCAGAGTCCCACTCTATTTTCAGTTCGTTAATTGTCGATGATGATCCATTGGATGGCTCTAGGTCACTTCGGAAGCGGAGGGCATCCGACGAGGGTCCAGAAGGGAATATGGTTACTCAAAAACGACAAAAGAAAATTCCCGCTAGATTCGAGGGGATGATTCCCACTCCCTTACCTAGGAATATGAAAACAGCACAAGCACTGATCGAACATTCCACCGAGAACAATGTTACTAGCCGCCAGTCAAGACCACGAAGAACGCGGAAAACTGAAAAGGCCCTCTGTAACATTGTTCAACGTCAGGCAGGAAAGATTATTCTTTCATTTCACCTAAACAGTACGAAATTAAATAGAATTTTGAACTCACGGCAAAAGCAAATCTCGAGACGGAGGCCGCCAAAACCACCTCCAGTGGTTGAATCTCCCCAAATTCCTTTTCAACCCATCGCCCCCTCAGCATACAGCGCTCCATTTTACGCCTTCCACGATCGAGAAAACGATGAGCTCAAATCGAAGCCCTACGGTGGAATATTATCGGAAGCTGATGCTGACACTTCAAGAACACTCCCTCTTGCTGCAGATCGGGAGAAGTTCGAGGCCGCTCGCCAGAAAGCCGAAGAAGAATGGAGACAGAAAATGGCGGCTGCTGCTGATCATCCTGGAGAATCCGCACCACGTGCAAAAATCTCCGGGCCACCAAGCAAAATAAAGTACATTAGCTTTGGTGGCTATGAGATTGAAACGTGGTATGCTGCGCCTTATCCAGAAGAATACAGTAGAAACAGAGTGCTCTACATTTGCGAATTCTGTCTCAAATATATGAATTCGGATTTTGTTGCCTGGCGTCACAAACTGAAATGTCCAGCGAAACATCCTCCCGGAGACGAAATATACCGAGATGGGTCAGTTTCAGTTTTCGAAGTCGATGGTCGCAAGAATCCAGTATACTGCCAAAACCTTTGCTTGCTTGCGAAATTATTCCTAGGATCCAAAACGCTCTACTACGATGTCGAACCGTTTCTTTTCTATGTCATGACAGAATATGATGAGTTAGGTTGCCACTTCGTTGGCTACTTTAGCAAGGAGAAAAGGCCCAGCTCATCCAATAATGTGTCATGCATCTTAACACTCCCCATTCATCAACGGAAAGGCTACGGGAACCTCCTGATAGATTTCTCCTATCTCCTAACGAGGGTGGAACGAAAAACAGGGTCGCCAGAAAAACCGTTGTCAGATCTGGGTCTAGTATCATACCGCAATTACTGGCGTCTCGTCTTGTCATACCAGCTGCGAAATCAGAAATCTCCTGTGAGTATTGCCGAGCTTTCAGAGCGCACTGGCATGACAGCGGATGATATCGTGTCAGGCTTGGAAGGACTGCGGGCTCTCGTCCGGGATCCCCAGACCAAAACATATGCCCTGCGACTAAATTACGCCTATTTTGAAGAGTATATTCGAAATTGGGAGAAGAAAAATTATATACGACTCAATCCAAATGCTCTTGTCTGGACTCCTTATGTTATGGGTCGCAGCAATCAGTCACATTATGACCGGGCACCATTACATACTGTTGCTCCGCGTGATGAGCCCGATGCGGACGACGACATAGAAGGCAACGGAGATAGCAATGTGTATACCAACCGGGTAGAAAATATGAATGGCGATACAAGTAGCATGCAAGATGGATTCGTCAACGGACACAGTCACGCCAGATCTCTATCACCTCCATTTGATCCCCCTGGCCCGCCATCAATGAGTGTGATGCCTTTTGATGGTGCCTCATTGAGGCAAGCCAATGGTGTCAGGACCCCGTCAGTGTCCTCCATGATGCAAAACCCAGCAGCCGGCATTCCACCCACGCGGTTCGAAATATTCCCCCCGATCCCAGGAACGATTACCAAACGTCGACCTGGTCGCCCCTTCGGCTCAACTCGTGCTAATAAGTTCAGAGGACGCACGACTACAACCACTGCTCCCACTACGGCACGAACAAGTGGCCGCAGTACTCCAAAGCGAACGGCCAGCCAAGTTATGGGTACTCCGACCCCTTCTAGCAGAACAATTGGTCTCCGAAGAGGGCGAAGTAGTAGGTTCCTTGACCCCAATGATGCTGATGAAGTAATGGGTGACGGTATTGAGAGCAGGGAGGGTGCCGAACTTGAACAGTTGGAAAGTCCGACACTTCAATCTACTGAGGTGGAGGCAGCCAATACGGAGATTGGCGCCAATGCTACACCTGAGTCGCACGCCGCTGCAAGCAATAATGGCAGAGCTACTGGCGCACTTGAGAATGGCAACACAAATGTCGACAAAGCTGCTTGCGCCGTCCCGCCATCTGGAGACAACAAAGTCAACAAGCACCAAGCCACAGATTTGGATATCGTGGACCATGAAAGGTCCCAGGAAGCTATCCAGGGGCCTGAAAATCACCAGTCGATAGATGGCATTGATGAACATACTTGAAAATGTCTTTTGACATGTTGATTGCTACATGTCTCCTCCCTCGTCAACAATGGCGACTTTCTATCTACACGGACCGGCGAGATATCTAATCTTTTCGAATGTTACAATAGGGGCTGGGGGTGTTTCCACCATTCCCTCTGTTTTCTTGTGGTAAGGTACGATACGGAGTTTTACGTTGGTTCATTTGGAGGCTATTTATGGGCATGCTCGACGATATTTCATTTCATGTCGTTTATTATACCACAGTTTTCTTCCTTCTTTTCTTGATTCCATGCCCGGCTATCTTCTGACATACACTTCCTTTTTTTTTTTTTTTTTTATTTTTATTTTTTCCATCCCCCGGGTTGTTGCACGTAAAAATCATTCAATGGCGTTCTATGTTTGTTAGATTGGCCCCGGTGCGGCCCCATCTCTCTTCTGCCTACAAACTAAAACTTGACCCGACCTTCTTCTCTTATGCATCTTTGATAATTTTTTCCCCCCTTTTTCTACCCATATCTTGTAACAGACTCATATCTCATTGTCCTCTTGTACTTTATTATTATGGATATTTTGGTTCGTGGGGTAATTTCGGCCCTGATACCATTTTGGCTCGCTGCTTTTCTTGAATTTTTTGCCCTCCAGGTACACGCAAACCCAACTCTGTGTACTTAATACGCGTTCTGTTAATAAAACAATAAATAGCAAATAGTTGGACCCCACACCTAGGGTGGTAATGTTACCGAGCATTGTTCACAATTCTAACTTCTCGTACCTGCGTCCAGAGCTACCAACATTCTCCAGGGTACCAGGGTTCATGCCTGCGTCTTCCTTATGTCCGTGCGATACGCAGGGTACCAATCGCAGAAGTTTCTCTCCAACGCTAAAAAGTCCCATCTCTATGCGAGTGCAAGTACCCCCTCCCCATAAATGAAACATTCTGATGAATTTACTATTATCATCCTGCCACCTTGATTAAGACGAGGTGCATGTATGGCCCTTGATGATGGTGGGAGGAGGGGTTAAGATTTGGTTTTACGTTTTGTTCCAAGATCTGTGAAGCAGGTTTTTTGGAGATGAGAAGTTGTATATGCTTTTGAATAGTGCCTGCGCCATCGCGGAATAAGTTGGACTGTGGGATCTCATTGCCTCCTTCACCTCACACCCCGCTAGCTAAATGTCTAGCCAGACCTTATAAAAATTAGTTTCATAAAAAACAGCCACACTGCGTGGTCGTTACTACTCCTTTCCGTGGTGATGGTGATGGTTATAGAAACCCAGCATGGAAAAAAACCTTTTTGTCCGGCTCAAGTGCTATCAAAAATGGCTGGATGGTGTAGTTGGTTATCACGTATCGCTCACATAATCGGCCGACTCGCGCAAGCGACGTTGACTCATCGCCGACATGTGCCGATAAGGTCCTGGGATCGAACCCCAGTCTAGTCATGAATTTTTTTTTTCTCTTTGTGCCTCTTTTTTTTTTTTTTTTTTTTTACTCTCGGTAATTTTGGCCTCGATTTCGCGGAAAGAAATGCCGCCTCCATCTTTAGTAAATGTTTCGTAAATTCCGATCTCTCTTTATCGTACAGTACATACAAGCGATCAGGTAATGGGAACACAAGTATTTTCTCTCTGTAAATCTGCTCAATTTACTCAGTACTCTCCCCCTCTTCTCCTGTTAATATTTGTGCCAACCAGAAGTATTTAGCGTGCCAGTAAGCGGCCAATGCCATTGCATTTTCTTTGTCTGATATGGTGGGATTAAACGTTGGCGTCTTACACGATGATAGGTTTCATTCTAGGATTGTGAAAAAGGCTATTATAATTATAGGACCATGTCGTGCCTCAAAATTCATCTCAAAAACCTTCGGGCTGTATTATTATTATTAGTTATTATCATCTCGGAAGTCCACAGCTCGTTTGTCAACCTCAGCATTTGAGCCATGGTTCTAGACTGCTAATTTTCCCTTTGAAGGAGCTTAAAAGCAAGGCTGGTCAAGATGACGGCGAGCTCCACAGAGGGCCTGGGGTGTGTGCGCTAAATTTTAACTCAATTATGGTTTTAAATTTAGTGGGTGGATGCGCACCCCCTGGTTGGCCTCGGCTGGAAAGTAACAAAGGTAAACAATTATGAAGGGCACAAGAGAGAAGAAGCAAAAGGACTGCCAGTGTTAGGGAAATTGTGCTTTTATTAATAGCTTTCGTTTGTCATCCATTGCTTTGTATTGGTCAATTGATTTTGATTTCTTTAACAATGCTTCTCTTCACGAAAATCGGGCAGAGAGGGGTAATATGTATGATATTGGTAGATTCCCCAAGGTAGCCCCCCTACTTTTCTGCTACAAAAAGTACCATGATTGTTGTGGGGTTGTCAATACTGATGACCTAGTACAGTATGCTCAGTGATGAAATATTTAAGACAGCTTGGTCCATAGAGGAGCATTTGCTCGCAGGCAATGTAAATAATCGCCTGGCAAAAGCTTGATGGAAGAAGAGATGATACTGGTGCAATACAGATGGGGGCCGGCCAGTATTCGATCTCGTAAATTTTTGGGCACAAAGTTCGCCGGACGAGCGGGTCGGGTCCCCAGATGGAAAATTGGGAATCGCGTACTTGTTCTGAGACTGAGAGTGCTCGGGTTTGAATATGCATCTCTTCTAGCAGGAAGCTGTCGACTTGATATTTGGAAATCAGATAATTTGGGTAATGACAATGTTGCTTTATCGATTAACTATGTCCCATGATAGTACTAATAGGTCTTCAGGTCTGGTTGCAAATCTGCAAGTGTTGCGGGTCGATCCCAAGGTTGGGAAGGACCTGTCAGTTGCGAAGGATCCATGGATTCACAGAAGATAGAAACATCCTTAATTATGTAACTAGCCATGGGTCGACGATCAGCCCTTAATAAGTGTAGATATCTCGTTCGCAGCAGTGGTAACGGAGACGTTTGAGGAGCTAACAAAATTTTCGAAATTATATCACGACTCTAAAATGAGTTTCCTTTCGACATTGCTTAGCGGTTTGGGCCTGATTCCGAAATCGACATCCGGTGGATTCAAGGAGGGATGGTGGTGAGTTTCACAGCTTGTATTGAGCAACAATGGGCCCGTTTTATTACACGATCTTGTGACTAAAACCGGGAGTATCAATTGAAATCTCATCGAGAATTGTTCTAGGAATGTTAATGACTTCATGAGGTAGGTCAAAGCTGAAAAAGAAAAAAAAAGAAAACGAAAAAGCATGGTAGGTAGCCTTTGGGATATAAAACCATCAAGCCTCACCAAGATCCGAGGAACAAATTATTGAAGTGGGTTTGTGCGTGGTTGCTGCAACTACCCTACCCCATGCTATATCTTCGGCCCCATCTCTGTCTTGTCCAAGAATATATTCTCTTCTTCCATCCACACTTGGTCCTCCGTAATACATGATTGATAGAGACAAGAGTAATAGTGATTGGAGACGATTCCCGTTCATAGAGGCTTCCAATAATCAGAACATACATAGTCCCCTCGTAGCTGTAGGTACCCGGCACTTGTTTTAGGCCAAGAGAGTGGAAGTCAACTAAAACCCGTTCTGAGAAGTGGGTAACACAGGGTTTGTTGGGCTGATCCATAGGAGGTTTGTTGATGCACCGATAGGTTTGACTGGCCATCTTCTAAATGGTAATCTCAAAGGAGACAGCCGCTGTGTGGAGATGATTAGCTGAAGGCGCTAGTAAGTGCAAGCCAGCCTGCCCGAGGTGTTGAAGCTGTTCCGAGAACCTGCACCTCACCAACCCCCATCGCTCTGAATCCAATATTTGGCTGCGATGGACATTCTTTTCCAAGTGCCGACTGCCCTTAGGCTGACATCTGAAAAAGTACTTCATGCTCATTTGTGATTCGCTCTGGTATACATTGAATTTGGGAGACGGGATGATGCGAGGCGCGAATTAACAATGGCGAAGAAATTAGAAAACATTCATTTTTTGTTGATCTTGGGATCTGCAACCGCCAAAGTTATTCTGTTCGACGCTTAAGCTCCGAAACCTGTTTCCGCCGTGCCTTCGGCTTCCTGAACCTGCCTGTTGGGCTTGAGTATTTGGTATGGTGGAGGCACTAATATCCTTGGTCCGAGTTACTTCGCGACGTGGGTCTCCAGCACAAGAGCGAAGACCATCTGAAATTACCACGCGAAAGTAACCAGCAGCTCACAGGCGCCATCTCCTTTCGTCCCAAGTCCGACGGCTTGAGTTGGATAACCGCGTAAAGCTTAAAAGATTTCTCCGACCGGAAAGGACGATTATTCGTGATCCGTGCGTGGACTGTTCACGAGCGTCAATTGCAAAGGTGCTGTGCATCCTTCGAAACATTGATGCAAGTCAGCTCAAGCAGTCCGTCTGGAACTTTGGAAGTATAGTACATAGTACACAATCGATGATGATGATAATGATGACTCCCACAGATCACATTTGAAAATCGTTGCATGCCTGCACTCTGCAGGATTTGCTGAACGCTGATTATGAACCAGAGAGGCAGCCGTGTTTGCACTCAAGTCGTCAAGATACACAAGAGCGCATGCTGTTTGTCCTCAAGCTTCCTGCATCGTATTGTCATTCGTATTTTATTGGCGCCGTGTTGGGCTCTGGACATTGTGCTTACGGCTTTCACGTAACTCACATGCCAGCCAGCGTACAGTACAGTACCTACCAAGCGCTACATACACCCCCCCTTCAACTTCGAATGGCTCTTTAAGTCAAAGAATTCCAGAGGGTGGACCGTTCATGGTGGCGGCCGCTCCGATTTCCAAGCTAAAGCCTGTGCTTTGATATCACTCGTCCCTGGGCCGCATCGTCACTGGGATATGTGATGTGATCCGCCCAATAAGATGTGATTTCCTGCATCTGGCCGATCCTTTTCGTCGATGTTTTCAAGCCCCAATAAACAGGGATCTGGAGCGTTGAACTTCATTCATGTTGCCAGGCCAGTTAGGGAGCCAACATGTGCGCAGTATGGACAGTATGGAGTGACTCTATCTTTTGACGACCGTTTGCCTTGGACCAACAGACACTTTGGAGCCGTCATCTCCTGCATGCAATTTCTCCCCCGATAATCATCGAGTAGGTAGCCATTCATTTTTGTTGCCAACTGCACGACACCCTTGTTTCTCGAAATTCTGCATCGGAAATAGATTGTTCGCCCTTTAAGCACGGATCGACGGCATAACAGCAATCATTGGAGAGCTTGAGTTGATTGACAAACAGCGCTTCTTTGTTGAATTGTTTTTGCAAGCCGTAGGATATACCATTCCATCCGCGCAGTTCGCCTAACTAGTTGTATGAGCTTTGATTGCCGAGTCAGGAAGAGCTTCTTACCATCGTTTCAATCTCTTTATCTCAACCCATCAGGAGAGGATCTGTGAGTTCTGAGAGAAGGAAAACTAGTCCGACGCCGCAGATTCCCAGGATCGCTGCATGGTGGCTAATGCTCTTTGTATCAACTGTACCGCCTCTTTTCGCAGATCCTGGTGACATTGTTTTCTCTCCGTATATGAATACAAAAATCTCACACTGCACCGGTCAATTGGCGACGATCCCGACAGTGTTCAAGTTTTGCTGTCTGTGTCCTGTCCAAGGCACATGTACCTACCCTCAATTGGAGTTGTCGTAGGCTTGTTGTCCGTGATTAAAGAAAGAACTCCAGTTGCTAGATATTTTCCCCTCCCAAGACATCCTCCTCCACCCCTCCAACCCCCCAACCCACCAATACCCCAATACCCCAAACTTGCTTGCCCCCAGTTCTTATCCGCAAAACCACTACGCTCTCCGCTACGACGACGACGCTGGCTTCTTAGATAGAACCTGCTACGGGATTGCCAGTGGTGGGTTAACGGACACGCTTGAATTGCCAAATGGTTGCTTCGAGCCAGTTACGATATGACCCAGCCTCGTTAACCAGATTCATTCCACGATACGAAGAGTTCCCCGCGCACTGGAAGAGATAAGCATATCCATACCAAGGTTTGACTGCTCCCTGGCGCCCGTCAAGTGGCGGCCGGCGTCTACTCGCGGCCTTTTCCACGCAGAGGCGGCTCTTCGTTATCAATATACCGTTCAACAAGCGCCGCAAATGTTAATCAGTCTACAGGATATTCCCAGCAGAACGATCACCGCTACAACTCCGCTGCAAACGGACTGCCCCGGGCGAGTCGCCGAGCAGATTTGGCTCGACAAGACAACCTCCAAGAGACCCTCCTTTATCCCGTTAGGGTTTTGGGCAGTGTTGACCGTTGAACTCAAATATACCAGGCAGTCAAAATCGGAACCTTGGTTCGCCCATAACCTTCTTACAATTGCAACACGGCCAGGATAGAAACTACGGTACGAAGGGTGTGTCAACGCATCATAGGTCGAATTTGGGAACACGCCTTCCGCTCCTCTGTGACGTTTCTGCAGGAAATCAGACGTTCAAAACACTGCA